TTGTTGTCTCCATGTTTCCTAAAACACAGATGTCCCAACTCGGACTTTTTTCTAAGTAAAATTTCAGAATTTAAAATGGGCAATCCTTGAGCTACATAGAGAGAGGTGAACTCCTCTTTGATGAAAAAAATTCAGTTCTAGAAACCTTGCTTCGCGGGTCCAGTGCAGCCTCCAGATGAAGTGTTCCTAGCGTGGCAAATAGTCAAATTAGATGTGAGTATTTGATTTTTTGTGTCCTGGGTGACAACTGGCAGCAGTCACTACACAGGTGGCTCTGTATACTCCGAGGTTCACTTGTGTCTGTGCAAACAGAGTGTGCTTGCTCGATTCCAGTCGGTCTTGAGAAGAAAAGACCCTCCTGGGTGGTGCAAATGGTTTGCGCTCAGCTACTAACCTACAAGTTGGTGGTTCAAGTGCATCTGGTGGTGCTGCAGAAGAAAGGCCTGGTGATCTGCTTCCATAAAGATTACAGCCAAGAAAACCCCTTGGGGCAGTTCTACCCTATCACATGGGGTCGCCATGAGTCAGAATCGACTCAACGGCAAGAGGTTTGGTTTTGATTTTGAGAAGCAGAGAATTCAGTCCACTGCCCCAAAGATGTGTGTGGTCTGACTCTTGCTGTTTTTTTTGACTAACAGAGGGTTGAATCGACTGCAGTAGAATTCTGGTAACTTCTTGGGGTTTCTCAGTCCACTGACTCACCGTGACTGAGGACCCGTGACGATATCTGTGACTTATTGGTGTTGTGCCCATAGTGTGTGTTGAAGGTGCCTATTCGTAAGGTCCCATACGGCAGGAAGAGCAAAAAGGATAGGGACTCACCCAGAACAGAGGAGCCGAGCAGAGGAGACAAGTCAGAGAGCCCCACCCTCTGCCCAGACTGGACGCAGCCCCAATTCAGAAGCCGAGGCCTGAGAATCTAGAGACAGGAACTCAGAGCTGATGCTGTGTTTTGTTTGGTTTTCTTAAATTCAGAAAAGTATATGTGCGCTTTGGGATTATACTGTGTCCAGCTCACTCTATGAGAAGTATGCTGGCATACCCCTCCGAGTGCTGGCCAGGATAAATGAAACTCTGAGCTTAGTGCCAGGCCCAGTTCCCAGCTTTGTTTCCCTGCAGGATATTTTCTGAGCTGTATGTGAACATACTGAGTCACACATGACAAATAGAAAGGAGCAAAAGAGAGAAATCGTGTCTCTCTTTATGATAGGCCGTTTACTCCCACTAATTAGTCCAGCTTTCTAGCACTATTAATAGCTGGATTTTATAACTCAGGTGTTATTGAGTCACCGACAGGTCTCGCTAAAGTCAGCAAGTTCTGTTTATTCTCTATTTAGTCACAGTATTTTAAAAATTCTCCTGCCAGGTGTGCATACATGTATAAAAATCTAAGGATAGGCTTACAAACCTACTGAAGAGATTTGTATGTGCCTCATCTTGTTCCAGAGTGCCTGGGTGGTGCAGCTGGTTAGGGCACTCGGCTGCTCTCCGAAAGGTTGGTTTAAGTCCACTCAGAGGCACCTCGGAAGAGAGGCCTGGCAAGCTACTTCCAAAACATCCTTGAAAATCCGATGGAGCACAGTTCCACTCTGATAAACGTGAAGTTGCCATGAGTCGGAGCTGACTTCACGAAACCAGTGGTTCCTGGTCATCCTATTCCAAATAGGTATGAGGAGGCTGCCAAAATACATACAAAGCAGAATGATTAAAAAAACAAAACAAGCAACAGGCTCGGGAAGAAGGCAAAGGCAAACAAAGGGTAGAATGGTAACATGTAGGGAGGAGGGGTAGAGTTCATGACAACTTTTGGACAGTTTTTGAGGTGAGTTGGCTTCAGAAGCTAAAGCAAGGCAATGACAGGATTCCTTGTGGACTCTGCGCAAACGTTTCTGATGCTCATGAGAAGATGGCTTGTCCTGGGGCTAATTTCGGAGAGAAAATTGAGGGGAATCTTCACTTTGAAAGGCTGTAACATAACGAATCTTGTCCTCAACAATATTCTCACAATAAATGCAATACATGTTTGTTAAGAGGCTTTGCTTGTGCGGTAAAACCTGCAAAAGCCGGCACCTGTGTACGGCAGAAACCCGTCAGGGCGTGAAAACGTCAATGTTTTTCACTAAAAAAGGGAGAAAAGTGACAAGACCGTGCCCTGTCAAAGGCAGAAAATTCAAGAGTCCCGGAAAAACGAGGCGCTCCCGTCGAGTTCCGGCTCTCACAGGTTTCGCTGTACTGGCTTTTTTGCACGTCGGGGTGAAAACACCAAGCCTCATACAAGTCAGTAAAAGCGCTTACACAGAGGCCAGACTGATTCTGTCTGAGTATTCACTGACCCAGGACAAAAAGCGGCAATCTCAAGAGGCAGTAATGAATCATCTGTACCCAATCACTCATAAATACTAATTTATGCGAATAAGCTTTTCTAATTTTTGCTAAGGAGCCCCGGTGGTGCAACGATTAAGCAGTCAGCTGCTAACTGAAAGGTTGGCAGTTGGAACCCACCCAGTGGCTCCATGGGAAAAAGAGCTGGCGATCTGCTCCTCTAAGAATTTCAGCCTAGAAAACCCTATGAGCCAGTCCTACTCGGTCAACTATGAGTCAAAATCAACTCAACGACACCCAGCAACAACAGTATTTTTTGCTAACAGCGAATAAGGGCGAATAAGGGCATATGCATACGTTTTGACTTCGGAGGTAGGGTTGACTCTTCTTAGAAAAACAAAGGCGTTTAGCCAGACTGCTAATTGTCACCTCAGCTTTATGCAAACGCTGGCTATTAGTATCTGCCAGCAGGGCCACGGGCTTTCTCAGAACACTCACTGGTGGTTCTACATTCGTGGAATTTGCTTGATGACGTAGACGGTACAGAGACGTTCGACCCATTGTTATCTGTTGCTCTTAGTACTCTCTTCAATTGCTGTTCCAGTTACCGTGACTGGGACACAAGTTACCCCAACACTCAGTGGCATGAAACAACCATTTATTTTGCTTAGTGATTCTATGGGTCAGGAATGTGGACGGGGCACAGTAGAGATGGCCTTTTTCTTCTCCATGATGTCTGGCACCTCAGCTGGAAGACTCGTAGTTGGTTTTGGCTGCTGGCTGGTAGCCTCTGTTCCTCTCTACATGGGCCTCTCCAAGTGGACTCTCTCTGTGTGTGGGTTAGTTTGGATTTCACAGCATTGTGGCTGGCTTCCAAGGATGAATGTTTCAAGAACAAGAGAGGCCTCTAGTTGAAATCCGTCTTGTCTTTTTATGACCTAGCCCCTGAATTTCCAGTGTTGTTTAGGCTGCATTCTATTTGTCAAATCAGCTACAAAGGCTTACCTAAGGGGAGGTGCAATAGATATTCCACCTCTTTGGGGATGCGGTGGCAAAGTTCTAAAGGAGTACTTGTATTTTTACGAAAATAACACGTGACTTCTATGTTTGTTTGCCAACCTCACCCTCCCAGTAAAGTATTTTCCTAAGCATGCTATGGAAATTTTTATTTTTATTTTTTACAACAACAAAAATGGCATAGCAGTGCTTAGGAAAATACCTTTCAGGGGGAGGATGTGGTTGGCAAACAAACATAGAAGGCGCACGTTATTTGCGTAAAAATAGGGCGTGTGTGACTGGAAGTATTGCTGAGGTGATTTTTGGAAAATACAGTCTGCCACAGTTGCACGGGATCAGTCAGGGATAAGCTTTATGAAGTCTGCTCTTCCCAGTTCTTATTTTTACCACCAAAGAGTGGTGGATTTGAAGTCAAAAGACACGGGTTTGAATCAAGACTATGCACTTACCAGCTGGGAGACTTGGAGAAATCAAGCAAGCTTGTTGGGTCTCAGCTTCCTTACTTGTAATCTGAGGTTATGACCATGGCCCCACCATTGATTTGTGGGAGTCAGAGCCACAAAAGTACCTGACTTGTAGTTGGCTGACAGGACCCTTCAAGATCAGTGAGCTGAAGCAGAAAGCAAAATGCCTCCAGCTTGATCTTTTGCTTTATTGGTCAGTAAAATATGACCAATAAGCAACATCATGATAAATGGAGAAAATACTGAAGTTGTCAAGGATTTCATTTTATTTGCATCCACAATCAACACTCTTGGAAACAGCAGTCAAGAAATCAAACAATGTATTGTATTGGGCAAATGTGCTGCAGAAGACTTCTTTAAAGTGTTAAAAAGCAAAGATGTCACTTTGAAGACTAAGGTGCGCCTGAACCCAGCCATGGTATTTTCAATAGCCTCATATGCATGCAAAAGCTGGACAATGAATAAGAAAGGCTAAAGAAGAATTGATGCCTTTAAATTATGGTGTTGGCAAAGAATACTGAATATACCACGGACTGCCGGAAGAATGAACAAATCTGTCTTGGAAGAAGTACAGCCAGAATGCTCCTTGGGAGCAAGGATGGTGAGACTTCGTCTTAGGTTCTTTGGACATGTTATCCGGAGGGACCAGTCCCTGGAGAAGGACATCATGCTTGGTAAGGTAGAGGGTCAGTGAAAAAGGGGAAGACCCTCAGCGACATGGACTGACACAGTGGCTGCAACAATGGGCTCAAGCATAACAAGGATTGTGAGGATGGCGCAGGACCGGGCAGGGTTTCCTTCTGTTCCACACAGGATTGCTGTGAGTCGGAACCATTTGATGGCACCTAACACCACCAACAACAAATTATAAACTGGTCATTTGAAAGTGGTGAGAACCTACTGCATTTTGAGAACAAGTCAGCAAGTCATGCCCCTACTTAAAAGCTTAGTTGGAAAGGAAAAAAAAAACCAAAAAAATTCAAGGTGTTTTTGTATTTGCAGTTTTTAAAAGGCGAGAGTCTCTTACTACCCACATCTCTTCTGTCCCTGAGTGTGGGCGGCAAGGAGTGCTTGTGCCCTCAGATGACTCACTAAAAACAGGGAGCTTGGAACACTCTGAAAAGAGAACCCACGTAGGAAAAAAAAAAAAATTTTTTTTTTTTTTTTTTAAGTTCTACCTTGTAGCCAACTAAATCTGAGTCAGCGGGGGAAAAGAGAAACAGCTCAAGAGAAGAGAGACAAGAGTGTCAGGGACCGGGTCGGAGTTGGGGATACACCTGGACGTTTGCCATGGTCTTTGAAATAAGGAAGTACCCCGTTCACTAAGGGGTGAACTGAGCATCAGCCATGGTAACTCTTTATAAGAAACAGAAGTATACATAATAACAAAATTTTAAATAGAAAATGTCTTTCGATCCTAAAAAGTTTAAGAAAAGAAATAGAAAGGGGTAGCTCCTCTTTCAGGTTCCCGTTAGATTGCCTTTAAATTTCTAAACGCCTTGGCCCTTAATAATCACATTTTCAGACGAGACTCCCACAGCTACCCTGTCTCCCACTCAGCCCAGCTTCATACTGCCATCCCGCTCAGATCCTCTGGCCCTAGCTAAGTTTCTTACTCATTGACGCAATCCCTGAGGAGGCAGACGTTTCCACCATGCCCTTTCCTGGTCGCAGTGACTGTTTTTGTAAACTCTCCTCACCCTTTATGACCCAGGAACTGTCCCATGTCCTTTCTGAAATTATTCCAAGAACTCCAGACTGCAGAGAATTTCCTCTCTTTCTGTTTCTTCTGTTCATGTAACTATTTGTTGTCTTACATTTTTTGTTCTTCTTGTTAGTTGCCGTGCAATCAATTCTAACTGATGGCGACCGAATGTGCCACAGAGTAGAACTGCTAGTTAGGGTTTTCTTGGCTGTAATCCTTATGGAAGCAAATTGCCGGGTCTTTCTTTCAGAGTACCTTTGGGTGGGTTTGAACCACCAACCTTCAGGTTAGTAGTTGGGCACTAACAGCTTGCATCACCCAAGGACGTTATAATGCCTTCTGTTGTTTTTGTTCCTGGGTATGTGAACGGTCTGCCCAGGTCAGTTTTGCATCTTGTTCATCTTTACACAGGCAAGCACGTTGACTTTTACTTGTGGTTGCTCAGTAAATGCTTGCTTATTCGGATGATGATTGCAGCCGCTGTTGCATTTGACTTCTTAGTATCGCATGCCAGGTTTCTGGAGTCCGCTCAGATGTTTGTTCTCTCTCTGATGCTAGCCTGCACGATTGCAGTGATGGAATTCACTGGTGGGTCCAAAGTAGGAGGAATTTGGTCCACTTTGCCTGGTGCAGTTAGGACTGTCCTCCACTGCATAGGACCCGCTGCACAGACCCACCGCGGGTAGCTTCGGTAGAATCTCCTGCTCTCAGTTCTCGGGTTCAGCCACACCACAGGGAGTGGTGGATTTAGAGAACAGACTCAGGTTGGTATTAGGGCTGTGTGACCTTGGGGAAATCAGGCGATATTTCTAGTCTCAGCTTCATTCTTATGTAATGAAGATGAGGCCACCTCCCTCACAAGCTGGTTTGTGAAAATGAGATCCCACAGCGTGGAAGTGCCTGGCACCAAGACATCCAGCTGGGCTCGCTGAAGTCAGGAACTCAGACTCAAAGGACATAAGGGTAGCAAATCAGGTTTTCATTTTATTACAATAAAAGAATTTAGTAAGAATGATTCCGTGAGCTTGTCTGTCTCCATTTCAGATGGGAAGCTGTATGATGCATATGTCTTATACCCCAAGCCTCTAAGTGGAAGTCACAGGTGGGAAGTAGACGTGATGGTGTTAAAGATTCTGCCAGAGGTGCTGGAGAGGCAGTGTGGATACAAGCTATTTATATTCGGGAGGGATGATGTTCCAGGACAAGGTATGTTTTAAGTGAGGTATAAAATCAACACATGAATAAAGAGGAAAGGAACCTCTCCCCGTCCTTCACCTTACAGATGGTGGGGACTTGGCTTGCCTTCACTTGGAAACCGCAGGAAGTCTTCGAGCCCCTCTGGCCAGACCAGCCCCAACCTGAGGTGGTTTGGGCCTGGCTGCTTCTCTCAGGCTCATTCTTGCACCACAATGATGACTGGGATTCCTGGTAGAAATAATGTGACTCTCACTTTGGAGCAAAAACTGGGTTAACCCATTCACGTGAATGGGAGGCCAATGGCATAGTCCTGGCCAAGAGGCAAGTGGTCATTTGCCCTCCTGTCGTTGAGACTAACTGCTGAGTATTTTCAGCAGGTTTGAATATGTAAATCCACTCATGTTTAAAGCTGATTTCATAAACCTCAATCCCACCCGCCCCTCTCCTACTGACATAAAAGAGAAGTTCTTTATTTGCTTCTCCCATTGAATAGGAAATGGTGGTCTCAGCTGGAAAATGGTGGTAAGGATGCCTCCCTGATCTGGTGGAGCAAATTAAATGAGGTAAAACCTGGAAAAGGACCATTGTGGCGTTTTGCACATATTAGACACCCAACAAATGAGTTTCCCTCTTGTCCTATACTCCCTCTCTCTTCAAAAGCTATAGAGTAAAATGCCTGATATCTGAAATAAGCATTCTTTTCTAGTCACTGGGAAACCGAGATTCCTACTTAATTGTGTTTGTCGTCGTTGTTCCTTGTTGAGTCGATTCTGATTCATAGCGACCCTGTGTGTGCAGAGTAGAACTTCTCCATAGGGTTTTCAAGGCTGTGACCTTTCAGAAGCAGATCACCAGGCCTGTCTTATAGCATGTAGTAGTGGCCTATTCCAGGTCACTTTAAAGTGTTTGTAAATACTTTGGGTTTCTAGGGTGCTCACGTCCATTGTTATACAGCTGTATCACAGCACACAGCTTTTGAAGTTATGAAATCATTCTCCATGAGGAAGTGAAAAGTTGCTCTAGTGCTTGTCATAAACATGTGGAAGAGCCCTTGTTTCATCGGCATATGGATACACATTCATTCATTCACACAATAAACAAATATTTATTGAGTACCAACTACATGCTGGGTACTCTTCTAGCTACTTAAGCCAGTTGCTGTTAAATTGATTCCAACTCACGGCGACCCTGTGTGGGTCAGAGGAGAACTCTGCTCCATAAGGTTTTCAGTGGCTGATTTTGTGAAGATAGATCACCCAACCTTTCTTCTGAGGCCCCTTTCAGTTAGCAGTTGAGAGCATTAACCATTTGCACCACCCAAGGACTCCATTCTAGGCACTAGAAATATAAAAACAAACAAAACAGAGAGGGTTTTGCTCTCGTGGAGCTTAGTCTCTCCTTATATCATACGGGAGATGACTGCAGGTAGAATGGAGTCTGCATAGCCTGATATTTAAAGCACTGTCCTCTTCCCTCCACAAGCAATCATTAGCCAAAACCAAACAGAGTCAAACTGCCCCACAGGGTTTCCAAGACCCTGGTGGCATAGTGGTTAAGTGCTATGGCTGCTAACCAAAAGGTTGGCAGTTCAAATCTACCAGGTGCTCCTTGGAAACTCTATGGGGCAGTTCTACTCTGTCCTATAGGGTCAGTGTGAGTCAGAATTGACTCGACGGCAACGGGTTTGGTTTTGGTTTGGTTTACTCTTTACGGAAGTAGCCGACCACATTTTTCTCCCGAAGAGCAGCTGGTGGGTTCAAACCACCAACTTTTTGGTTAGCAGCCAAACACTTAACCACTGTGTCACCAGAGCTCAAGGAACCATTACAGTATGTTATATGGTTTAATAATTAATCCTATAAATCCTAGTAATTGAACAAGATAGAAGGATAAGAGGAAAACAAACATACAAGATAAACACTACATTTACGCTAACTACATTTTCCCTATCGTTTCTAAATCTATTTTAAAAAAATGTCTTCATCATCTACTATATGCCAGACCTTCAGCTAGTCTGGGAATACAAAGTGAGTCATGATAAGATCCTTGTTTTGAGCAGCTCACAGTCTGTGGGTGGAGGGGGTGGGCCAGGAAAGTGATATGCAAACAATTAACTATAATAAATTCTGATTTGTGACCATAGAAGAGTCATTCTGCGGGGGAAAGTCTGGAAGGCTCCACAGAGGGGATGCCTTGTTAGAAACATTGCTAATCCACTCCTGATTACATCACATGCAAAGTCCATGTTCTCTTCTCAGTACCCATTTCTAATAGTCTTAGTAACTTTAAGACCCAAGCTGTTTTAATCGTGAGCTATTCTGCATCAGCTCTTCTTTCTTTATGTCCAGCTGTGGCCAGTGTCACTGATGAGAACATCAAGCTGTGCAGGAGGCTGATCATCATTATAGTCCCTGAATCTCTGAGCTTCGGCCTGTTAAAGAACACGGCAGAAGAACAAATCACGGTCTACAATGCCCTCATCCAAGACGGAATGAAGGTCATTCTGATTGAACTGGAGAAAATCAAGGACTACACAGACATGCCGGAGTCAATTAAGTATATCAGACAGAAGCATGGGGCCATCCAGTGGAGTGGGGACTTCACAGAAGAATCCCAATCTGCAAAGACCAAGTTTTGGAAAAAAGTGCGATTTCACATGCCACCCAGAAGGTGTCCCCCATCTGTCTCCAGTCCAGCTGCTGATGCACGTTCTGTGCCTGTACAGTGGGTAAGAGGGAGGTCAACAAGGGGTTCATTACCCGATGAAGGATAGTCTGCTGTCATGCGGTGCCTTATAGTTGTACAAAGATGCATTTCATTGGGGCTGTCTGCCCCTGAAGATTGTGTTATATACTTGTGCAATCCATTGCTGTCAAGTCAGTTCTGGCTCATGGCAACCCCACATGTGTCAGAAAAATAGAAAACAAACAAACAAAAACATGACCTCTCCCAAGCATGTGAGGTCCTCAGTTTGCGCTTAGCTACTAACCAAAAGATTGGTGGTTCAAATCCACCCAGCAGTGCCATGGAAGAAAAGCCCAGTGATCTACTTCTGAAAAATCACAACCATTGAAAACCCTATAGAGTACAGTTCTCCTCTGATACACATGGGGTGGCCATAGTTTGAATCGCCTTGACCACACCTGGTTTACTCGTTTAACACTGTAGGTGAATTGATTAGTTGGATTTTTTTTTTTTTAAGTCATAAATCTTCTGTCCTGTCAGTATGTGTCATAAGTTTCTTTTTGTTTAAAAGTATGTAAAGATTTATTGTTAATGTAATAATATTAATAAATTATTTCCATACATTTTATTTTATGTTTAATTCAAATGTATTTTGTGTCCTACACAAGAAGCTCCTTTTCTCAAGGGTACCACCATTTCAGATACGTGAGCACTGTACCTCTGTTCTCAGATTGGAGAAGGACTACATTCTCCTGTTGTCAGACCGTGTGTTCTGATTCGGGATTTGTAAAATAGAGCCGCCATGTTTTAAACGATTGGTAAGGCTTATCTTAACAGCCATTAAGTCCTGTCCTTTTTAACTGTGGCCCCCTTTGATAATTCCATGAACACCATGGGTATCTTCCTAGAAAATATACATACTCACAAAATTTTGGCTACAATTTCAGGAGGTGGACAGTCCTTTTCAAGCTCATCAATGGGATCTGTGGAAGGTACATAGATCCAGGATAGGGACTCTTGCCCTAGAGGGTCTTTTGCGTCTATTTCTGTGGGATGTAATGTTGGAATTTTACAGGGTTCTACCTAGAGGCCCAAAGATCAGCACATTGGTAAGTGAGTCATTCAGAGTTCTCCTAAAAATGATTTGGGAGAACAGACTCAGAATTTTAGGGGTGTTTTGTTAATCCATCACTCCTCTAGACCAAAGCTTTGCAACTGGTGTGTCATGAATGAGTTACAGATCCATGAGGTGATTATTCCTGAGATATTTATTCAGGGTGCATCTGGAGCCTTAACCTTCTCTGTTCATCTCAGTGTACTTTATTTGTTTGTATGTGTGCCGTGAAGTGAAAAAGATTGGGAAGCACGGATTCTATTCCAGCTGTCCTACTTTACCATTGAGGAAAATGAGGCCCAGAAAAGTGAAGCGACTAGACGCTCAGTAATTTGTGGCAGACTCAGGACAGGTACCCAAGGCTTCCAACTGTGCTGTGGTTCTTTCTCCCACAATAAAGTATTCTGAGCCTCTTAGTCCTGTGATACCAAATGTGGACTGAAACCAAATGGATAATATTGTAAAAATGTAGAAACTGAGGTTTCTGAATGATGGCCCTTGATTAACTCTGGACGTTTTCAGGAGCTTACGTATTTTTGTTTTGTTTAGTCTCGTTTTTGCCCTGCAGTGAACAAAACCTTGGCATTTAGGTGCATGTAGGATTTAACATTCAAGATGGAGAATTTCTTGAATAAGTTTTACATTTCTCGAGTAGACTGTTACTAATTGCTGGAGATTTTCCTGGGAAGACCTTATCTGAGACACAACTCCAGCTTGAAGCATTGGAGTTAACTTAATTTCACCTCTTGCCTAGAGTCTCCTCTTAGGAATTTGGGGACCCAGAGACTGTACGTGTGGTGCTTAATAGCAAGAGAGATTAACTTTGAAACTCAACTTCTCCATCTACTACCAGTGGGCCCCTTGAAGAGCCATTCAGCCTCCCCAAGCCTGTTTAGTTAGCGGTCATGTGAGGAGACATGAGATGATGTGTTGGAAGTAGAGTATGGCCACAAAAACCAGTTCTTATTTATGGGCAGCTTGGACAGTCTTCAAAAAACTCTGGCCATAGTATTTAGAGAAAAGGTTTAATGGAGGGGACAAATTTAATAGACATTGGATGTTTTGTGGTAGGCAACTGATGGTTTTAGAGAATCCCAAATTTTCTACTAGCTTCTTCAAGTCGCACAAAGAATGCCCCTGGACACAGGTGCCCTGTGTTGACATCTACAGAGTCTGTGACTGACCCACTGGTGTGAAAACTCAGCTATCCAAGCCATCCTGTCTTGGGGTATGCGTCTTGTCTACTGGCTGATGTGCTCTCCCACTCATGCAAGGATCCCAGCCCTTCCTGATCACCCTGAATATTCACAAGGCTTCCCTCCTGATGTGGCCTTACATTATGGTCCTTCATTACTACTTAGTCTTGATTGTGGGGGGAGAGGGGAGGTCAAGACGTTTTGAATCCCAGTCCTGGGACATGGGTGCTAAAGATGACTGGATACCAGGAATAACTTTCAGCTGAACCTACTCTATCAGCCAGTGTCAAACAAAGGTGAATAATTTCTTCCAATGAGTATTTGAAGGAAGTGTTTGAAGAGGGCGGACCTAATTGACAATGCTGTCACTATCCTGGGCCTCTTGAGGACTGGGCTGGAATAGACAGGGCCATGTTATCCCTTCTTCTCCAACCTGAGCCAGCCCTACCACCCGTCAGACTACTCGGCAGCTATGATTCCAAACAAGTTGTACCAAGATTAAGATATTGGAGTCTGTTCACTAATTACCATTTATTTTATCCCAGGACTACTTAAATGAAACTTGCCAATTTCTCTTGAAAACTCTGTTCCCCTCGGAGCCCCTTTTACTGGAGCCCCAAAATTTCTATAGCAGGTCTTCAGAGGCATTCTTTGGTTGGGGCGGTGGTGGGAGAGAAAGGCTGAAAGTAGCATTGGTGTAGCCCTTTACTTAAGATTTAGAAGTCATTAATTACTCAAGTCAAAGAACAGGGAGATTCCTAACGGAGATTTGGGGGAAGGGGCGCTGAAAGTCCTTTCACCCAGCTACTGAGGTCCCTCAATTTCATCTGCAGTGCAGTCCTTAAAAATGTGCGTTTCCAGCGTTTTGTACATGTTCTTTAATCTTTTAGCTCAGCAGATGAACACATAGTCCGGCTGCTAAAGCTCAAGAAGTGTAAACCTCATACTAAATATTTGCCATTTTGAAAACTATTCCCATCTCTTTCTAATTTTGTTATTACTGGTTTCAACACTTTCATTTTTTAATTTCCCCTAATGTTTAACAAAATAATAGGGATACAGTACAGTAAAAATACAAACAACTGAATTAATCTGGTAAATGAATAGTTTCTTTTATAAGGATTAGTGCAAAGCTGGTTCCTATGAGGTGGAGGTTAAAGATGTCCTAAATGTCCGACTTTTCCAAACTGCTGTTCCATTGCATCATCTCGAACATCACCTAACCTTTCAGTACTCTCCCTCCCATCTTTGGGTTCAGTAATTCACTGCAACTGCTCATAGAACTCATGAACCATATCAAGTAAATGGCTTACGTGGTTGTGGAGGCTAGCAAGTCCCAAATCCGTGGGTCAGGTGTAGACTTCTCCCAGCCCATATGGCTGCGGGGGCTGACAAAGCCAAACTGGCAGGTCAGACCACAAGCTGCTGTCTCACAAGGCTTCTGAAGCTGGCTAATCAGATCAGACGACAGGTCGTCGGCCCATGGGGCTGGGGAAGCCAGTGAATCCCAGAATTGACAGCTCAGACAGCAGGCCACTGGCTCAAGTTCTAAGAGCCAGAGGTCAGACAGTGACTAGCCAGATGTAGGATCCAGATGCAGAAAGAGAGAGCTCTACTAGAGCACCCACATATGTACCTTGGATGCAGGCCACACCCCAGTGAAGGGTGTGACTTGAGTAAGGGTGAGACCTGAGTCACACCCTCAAGATACACCTCACACAAATCCTGCCTTATTAACATATAGAGGTTAGGATTTACAACACATAAAATGGAGGATAATTAGGATAATTACATCAGATCACAAAATGGAGGACAACCATACAATATTGGGAATCATGGCCTAGCCAATTTAACACATAATCCCAACCATCACAGGCTCCGTATCCCTTATTTCCATAGTTTCACTAAATCTTTGTGTGTGACTTACAAAGACCATGGCTGGAAGGGCCACATTAAGTAATTCATTGCACCGCATCTGGCTTTGTCACTGAAGTGTAGGTTGGCAGGTAGTGGGTCAAAATATTCATTTGTCAGCTGATGGGCTAATGCCCAAATTTGCAGAGGAAAGAAAGTTTAGGTGTTCAATGGATGAAAAGTTATGTTAAATGAAAGTTGAAGACCACCACTAGTTCTCTCATATTTGACCAGCTTGGCCTGGTGCAAAGGAGAGGCGATGGGGTCTTACTCCAAGTTCTTGGATGTGGGCCCCAGGGCTGCTGAGATAACCTGAAGATACAGTGATCTACCCGGCAGTAGGGCTGAGAGAGGGGTTGGGTTAGACAGAAGATGATAAAGGTGCTAAAACACTTGATTACCTTTTGGTTCACTTTCCTACAACAACTGAGTCAGCCATAAATCTCAGTTCCTTTGGTTTCTTTGCTCAAACACTGTGAGTCTGACCTTGAGAAAGACCTTGAGGAGACTGAGTCACATTAAATAAAGGGCTTTTTCCAGAAGATTAAATGAGATGAAGATATATATGTGAAAGTGCTTGGCAAACTCTACAATACCAAGACCATAATGTGGGAAGTGAGTGGGGGCCACAGCCTCTCAGTGCCTTCTAGTCCTGGCAGGACCCCCCGGTGACTCACAGAGGGCTTCCTGCTGTGTCCCTGTCAGCTGATCTTTTCTCAACTCTTTTTTTTTTTTCGGTTGTGCTTTAAGTGAAAGTTTACAGCTCAAGTTGTTTTTTATACAAAAATTCATATACACATTTATATGTGACCCTAGTTGCTCT